TTGAATACTTACAAAAGCTATTCACTCTTTCAGTTGGAATATAACCACATTTATCTATTGGACTATTTGGTCATCTTTGACGGTCCGGACTGCATGGCACCGCGACTTGCGGTTGTGTATAGCCCAAACCACGAAATGTCAATCAGCTCTCAACAAAACAAAGTGTCGTTGTTATTCATAAGCGAGCATTCACACCAGAATAGCGGCTTTCACCTCAGATACAGTCCAGGTAAGCAAATGTTTACGTCAGTCGGATGGTTTCCGCATTTATGACTCTATAAATTTAAGATCAACTTACTGCTATGTAATGGCTGAAGTACATTTTAAAAGCGAGCATCTACTTGACCACTGTGCATATCTACGTATGTGAATGAATCTGTACTCTAACAAAGCTATGGTGCTTAACGTAAGAAGGGTGCTTAAAATTCGATCTTTCAACAGTTTAATCACACGAGGCAGCAGATGTGTATAGGGAGTGATATCCAAGCTTTCTGGTGCTTACTCCGGACAAACTGATAGGCAGTTAGAAGCACAGAAAAAAGGTTCTTATATATTAATAAAAACGTGCTAGCGGTGGGTTGAGTTTCAACCAGAGCATTTTGTCATTTGCTATATGGCGCTTGGCTCTGATTCATACAACGTGCTTATAATCAAGCCTATTCTGATCATGTCCCTCACTTTATGAACTCTCAATGCTCTGCTTCATAGAGCACCTTCTGAGATTCTGTGGTAATTTGTTTCACCCAATTGCGTAGCAGTTGCTAGAGAAATTTGATCTTCAGTTGTTTCGTGCCATTTCGATTTGTAAGGTGTTGTGTCTATTCCTTATATTGTACTTGAGAGGAAGTTGATGTACACCCTCAATATCTGGGGTAAAGACGTGTTTCTGAAGCATGACAAACATGTAACTCAGGTTAACTTTTAACCTCCAAAACCAAAGGGGTTATGTGTTCATCTCACAGAAACGATCATATTAAGCAATAACACCTTATTTTCTCATTAGACGCTTTGTAAAGGAGAGCAGTGTATTTCCTATTACCTTCCGTCACTATGTATATGGTTGGAGTATATTAATGAGCAGTATTCCAATAGGGGACGAATACGAGTTTTATGTATGTAGATATGGTTTCAACTAAAACAAAGGATTTTATTATTAGCCCTTTAGATTTATGAGCTTCTGCGACAGTATACTGCACCAGTTTGGGGGAAATTGAAGGATATCCGGTTGTATAGCCCAAGATCACGAGTTGTGAGGGTTAAAGAAATTGATGTAATACTACCCTGACAGCATACCCAACTACACTTCACGGGTGAGAGTTCCATTGCTGCACCAACATTCCAGCTCGTGCAGATCGGTTTGGGTTGACTAGGGTGCTAATGACATTGTTCGAATTGAAAGCACGAACAGTTCTAATGTCATCTGCGAATCAACATGGTTTGCCAACTTTGATGACATCAATGACGTTGTTAATCTACATCAAAAACAAACAAGGCCATAGTACACTTCCTTGGACAAAGTTACTTGTAACTTTTCTACTTGGGAAGTATTGTAAGGAATTTCGACTGCCTGATGCTGACCAGTAAGGTACGATGACATCCCAGCATGTAAATTGCTAATAATATCACAGGAATGTAGTTTCGATACAAGCTTTCCATGTGATACCTGACCGAACGTTCTACGCGTATCAAAAAACATAATGAGTAGGCACTTACCATGGCCAATGGAACGTGTGATGAAGCTTAAATTTAGTACTTTATAACTAATACATGACCGTGCTCTTATAAACCTGCTGGGAAGTGTAGATCAAATTCTCAGATGAGAGGAACTCGATCTTTTGTCTTTTATTGCTCTTTCCATTGTTCTACGTAGAATGGAGGTGTGGCTGATGGACTATGGGCCACTTTTATATGGTGATGAAATCAGTACCTAATCCCAAACATCTTGAACAACCCCAGATTTCATGAAAACGTAAAAATATTTTGAAGTAGTCTGGGGACATCAAGGTCCCCGGATTTGAACACAGCGTATGGTATTCCATCCGGGTTAGGATCGCATTGAACTTATCACCCCTAATGTCCCACTGTTCAAATTCAACAGTACTGCAATAATCCGTAGTTTTAGCAGGGAAGTTTGTCATCGGTAATATGCATGGCTCTACGAAAAACAAAGGGAAGTATTCATTGAAAGCCTCACACATTTGAGTCGGGTTTATAGGAAGGCTGTTTTCAGGCAGTATATTGAAAGGTGATACATCATGCTTACAGTTGCTTCTGAGCTGGAATCACATAGTCATTGCCTTTGGTTTGCTGCAGGTGGATAAGACATTAGCCATTTCTCAGAGTTTTGAGGACCGACTTGTTTCACAGGTGTGATTATTTGATTTTGCTACATTAAACTATATTTTTAGTATTTGTAAGTGGCTTCATCATCCTTGTTATAGGCGACGGGATAGTGTTTCGACACGTTTTGAGGGAAGTACGCTTATGAAGCCTCGAGTAGAAGTTATCTAAACAAGAAATATTGTGTTTATGTAAAACGTCCGCTGCACTTTAATGTTCTGGGGCAAGGAAATCCTTTTCCAAGTATAGAAGTTGTAGTTAGATGTAAAATATTGCAGGTTAGTATTGTGATGGTCAAGAAAAGCAATAATGTTGTTGGATACATCGTGTTTATAGGCGATTAATTGGAAGTAGAGCACTACTAACTCGTGGCCACACCCAAGGCGATAGAGGAGGATGCATTTACATCAGAGAATTTGCGTGAATTTGTTTGTTTTGACAACAGACTGCATCTGTGTTACTCATACAACGAAGTGCAAATCGCCATTTTTGTTCATTGTCAAGCTAATGAGGCTAGCCACTTTAACATCTCTATATACTCCTGGCATGTAAGTGTTAAATGACCTGTTTTATACACGAATTAACGCACTTTTTACTGTTTAGTAACAGAATAAGTGATAGGAAGATGGATACCCGCAAACTCGACTACCATATGGATAAAAGAGTTCCACTGGTTTGGACTGTTCTGTAGTAAGAAACAGGAAGGGACTTATCCCTCAACACAACCATCATTGTTAGGTAAATGAATATAAGCACTTAACCGAACACCCTTAAAGCATAGTGCGATAATTAACTAAGGGCGTCATTTATTGATACACTTTGATATTTTTACCAAGTCAGTAGGCTAACATTTGAAATCAACTTGGAAAACACGGTAACCATATTAACACTGGCAATAAAGTAATGTTGCAAGTGCTTAACATTTACCGTCGAAGTTAATTCGACCTGCTAAGTAAGTTAGTGGGCTTAAATAGTTAAAACCTAGTCATTGAATCAGTGAATGTAATATTCGCATGAAATGCAACTGTAGTACGCCTTCTCTTACAAACGGATAAATAACTTGGTATGTCTACGAACGTATCTACATATTCATCTTTCTTTAGAAACGCTAGAAGATCAATGGAAGAAGAATAATATAAGTGAGTTGATTTACACCAAATGTAGTACAATGTACTAGTCAAAATCGCATCATAGCGCAATTTGTTCATACCACATGAAAAAGAACAGAAAGCAATAGTTTTTTGTTCGCTTTTAGGTTTCGCATTATTTCGCGAACAGTTTTGCATCTACAGCAATAAGAAACTAAGAACCCCAATTTGATCCATCTATTGCACATAGATAAACAAATGTTGATGACCACTACCGCTACTGTAAATATTCGTCTTCATCTAATTCCTCGTCAGAAAATATGTTAGTGCTGCCATGTATGTCACATCAATCTGAGAAGGTCAACGAGGTTCAGTTACCAACGGATACTGTATGGGCGCGTATTGCTGCATAAAAATATGTCGGCAAAATTAACATTTAGGATTCACATTTTTAAGTAGATGGAACAGGCAAAAGTCGTTCCAATTGCTTTATACCTAACGGCAATTATAACATGGAGCGACTACACGGAAATGTAGAAATACTCTTGATTGAAAACCGTGCAATCATCAATTAACCAATAGTAAACAAAATGGTTTTTTCTTCCCTTTTGTTAAATTTCTACAATCTATTTCTCAATTTCAGTCTATCCTAAATTCCACCAGCATATAATACGTGAGTTTTGCACCTGCCCCTGGGAAATTTACCCGCATAAATTCTGATTTTAAAATATCTTACTAATAGAAACCAAAACTGTCAGGCAACTAAATTAAGATAGATGTAAACCTTTTTCGCCTCAGTAGTGCAATAAACTATTTTAGAAGTGTGATTAGTGTGCTTATTGCAAATTTGTCAGAGAAGATGAAATGCATCTGCAAAGCAAAATCATGCCAAAAGTGCTCGATTTCCTTTTGAAAAACACTCACCAGGTGTATACCAAACTCGTGATTTACAACGAAACGATATCTAATCGCCGTAGCCCGCATTGCTGATTACTTAGTATGGTGGATAATTTGATATGGGGCATTAAGAGAGACGCATGCCTACTGTTCTTCCAGCTTTTAAGTTTTCTAAACAGCTCTACTAATATTACACACAAAACAACTTGACTGATGCCGCAAAGCATATCATCACATGTAATCTGCTGACCAGAGCGACAGTAAATGACCGACAAAATCGTCTGGATATCCATTACTAAATCAGCACCTCGATATCTGTGGGGTGGAATGTATTTATCAAAAAGTAGACAAATGATGAAAAAACAAGGTGCAACCTTTCGCACAGCCAGCTCTGGAAGCTAATGCGGGCATAGCTGAAACAAGCAGTGTCGGGGTTTTCAAGCTACAGATAATTTTTAAGATGCTGGCTATAATCTTCAACATTTTGATTTTAACCAAGTCATTATTGAAATTAAGGCAACGGAACCTCTGGCGACAATTCTGTTTATACTGTACGTACGTATACGCTGAGTCATTCAAGTGTGATGTGATAAATGTTACGCAAATCTAAACATGAATTGCTAATGTTATTAACATCGCGAAGCATTATGGTTTCAATGTTAACTTTTACCGATGCAGTAATATAAGTGACTTGCATTTTGCATCACCTAGATTTGTTGGTTTCAGATAATCTAGACGCAAAGTTTGAGCTTACTAATGGTATTCAACTGCCACTTCAAGGAAATCGGTTTAGGTTTGGGTGAATGTATATATAGCAAGATTAACGAATATCCGCGGTCAGCTTAAGCGAAGAGCAACTGGGATTCCATTGCAGTGTGTGTATTTGTTAGTGCCATCAAACTGCTATTTGTATATTAATACAAAAGTAAACTAATTAAACACACTACTGGATTAACTCTTTGTACCATTTGAAGTAAAAAATATTACGATTGACGAAGTTTGCCGATATATGTTGTTTTGCAGACAATTGTGGATTGGAGTTAAATACAAGCACATCTGCGATTTTCTGGAGGGTATCAAATGAACTAAACGTGTTATGTATCTGGCGAATCACAAACAACCGTGGCGGCAGAGTCCTATTAAAAATTAACGAATTGCGCGTAAGTTTCATGTGTATACTTTTCCACATTCGCCATATTTGAGTAACGCCAATTATGTCGCTTTATTTAGGATAGAAATGATTGCTCGTCCATTCTAAATTTATTGTTTACTTAGAGGTCTCATTTTATTGAATTTCTAAGCACAATGCATGCGGACACAGCTTGAATAATTCTAGTCGGTTAATGAAGGCAAAATGAGTGCAGCAATTATCAAATTTTGTACTATGAACTAGTTTACCAGGTGCGCGGGTCAAGGGCTGTTTGCAGACAAAGTGCACTGGGACAGTTGACAGTGGATGAGTTGATTTGATTTTACCGGACTTAGTCAGAATACTCTGGACATTTATGTTATTCTGACAGTTATTGCAAGTCAAACAAGTGGACGTCATTAATTGCAAATACGTTTCCCTCGGTAGATGGGGTTGAGAACCGTTCTACCAGATATTTATGTCTGCCATGGGTCTAGGAAGAGGCAAAATTCTTGGAGTCACATAGCCCGTCACATCACCATGGTACTTTCACTCAAAAAGCCATAGTAAAGATTGTTCAGGTTTTCGAGCAACACCAATGGAAAATGCGAAAATATATCTCTCTGTGAACCAATACTGCCAGTAAAGAGAGTAGAGCCTGTTGCAGCAGTAATATATTCGTACAGGATTTTCTAAAGTCTGCGTAATTACTTCTCAACTAGTGGTTTATGAAGAATAGATGTTTAGGACTCATAGTACACCTTGTTAATCCAAGAAATCTGGCATTCTCAGGGGCATCATTAAAACAATACATCCGCAGTCGAATGGAAATGCTACATGACTTCATAAATTTTAAGCGCCAATCTTCATAGATAAACCATACAATTCAGTCTGCAACACTAGTTCTGCTAATCCGCTATAAACGTAGCCATTCGACTGCTTATCTCAAAGAGATTTGAACATATTCGTGCGCCTATATGTGATTCATTTTAACTACTGAATATTAGCTTCAGGTTTTCCAAATGTTCAAAGCTCAAACGTAATACGACAATTCTTTAAAAAATCACTTTACAGCATTAGGTTATTTGTAAAATACTGCCAAAATCAGTTTTATTAGGCTCAAGCCCCTGTAATTGCTTGTAAACAACTATGTTTGTCCATAGGAGCAGACCTACCTTAACTAATGAAGGAGGACAGTTGAACACACTTGTTGGAACTGAACTGTACTTAACATTCCGTTCGTCAACATGCTTTACGTCTCTCTGGATGCAGGCAAATTTATCAAAGGGCTGCCACAAAAGCCCCATTTTAGGGGCGAAATATGACACCACGAATAAATAACTGGGCAACTCGTTTTTAAATCTCTTATTGTCTAGATTAATCGTTTATTAAGATTAACGGTATGTTTATTATACGTGTTGAATATATGCCTGCTGGTAGTTTGATCTTTCACAACGATACAAGCATATGCAAAATCAGTGTGACCCATAAAATGATCACACTGAACAAGCAGATATTTCTAACTGCTAACTGAATACTATTCCGTACCATAACTAGTTCAGCCTTACTATTTGTTCGGTGCGGAATTTTCGGAAGTTGATTTTTAGAATGGCCATTTTGGATGTATAATAAAGTTTGATTACATGCGTAGGAATTGAAAATTTAAGACAGCGACTAAATTCATAGCACGACGGTAATGAATGCGGTTCCACAATTACAGCAGACCTAGAGAGGTTGCTGTTTGGAACACCTAAATTTCAACAGGGTAAAGTAGATTTAGCTAACTATGTTCAAAAAGTTGTCTTCGTAAATGATCATGCTGAATCGAAACACAGTCAGTGAGATAGATGTGCCTCACTGCATGTGACATAAAATTGTATACTATGTGTCTAGTTAACAGAACCATAACTATTATGTATGAAAAATAAACATATAAAAACAGCCTCAAGCTACGCATCATGTTAGTTGGACCATGCTTTTAATTTTCTACATCAGTATTTGTCAAAATTATTGTGACTGTGGAACTATAATACCAAGTATAATACAAACAAGGTATCATAATTTGGATGGTATGGTCAATGAAAATCTTTATTAAGATACAACCTTGACTTGGGTTTGTTAAAAATCTTCCGCAGTATAGGCACATGACCTATTAGTACCAATGTATGAACCTACGTTGCATCCGATTGAATGGAAGTTCAGGGATAGTTTTGCCTATATCTACTGTGTCTTTGACTATTTGCACTAGGTTTGCTTAGTAAAAATAATGATGCCTAAACTATGAATGATTCTATCTGATGGCACCATAGTCATGGAATTGAATGGCTTTAGATTCCACATACAAAGCACACCAAATTAGTGCTGCGCAATGACAATAATACACGTGCACTCGATTCGTGGCATAGGTGCATTGGGGCAACAATTGCTAAGAGAACATTTGCGCGCTAGTGCAAATAAGCCAAAATATTCGTTCCTTTGTACCAGAGCAGCTACTCAGGAACCACTGAAAACCAACGTTAAAAATGCTCTTTCATTTAACCAAACTTAAGAAGGATAACTTGTCGCAACACTCAGAGACTTAAATTGGACAAACCGTTTAAATAAGACGATATCCTTAGAAAAATATGAAAGGTACTTAAATGAGAATTAAAACCGGCAACATTTACGAAAAGTGGCGCCAACCCAAAAGTTTGAGTAATGAATCAGACTAGTACAAACATACAGAGGGACATTTTAGTATAAATATGGCATTACCGACATTTTTAGAAGAAATTTGAACCTCATGTGCAATTCAAATATACAATTCGAATCTGTATTTAATGGGGTTAATTGTGTTATGGAAAGAAGTAAGCGCCAAATATTACTGATTATCAGTAAGGTGATCTACGGCGATATCATATTAATTTGTGGTTAACGCTCTAGGATTGACCACTGATGCTTAAAACATCAATAAATTTGGTGCCTAAGCAACAACTAATTGTGCGGTTCGATACATCTGGTCAAACATGAAGATCGTAGTTCTGCGGATAGATATATAACTTATATATGTAGCATATACTGTTCAACAAAATCAGGGTCATTTAATTAGATATGGTCCAGTGAACCCCTCAGATCCATTAAGTCACATTGCACATTTCTCTCTGAACATGAACCATGAAGGTTACAAAAATTTGTGCACGTATATATTTGGCGTGTTTTTGAATAAAGCAACGCGGAAAATTGTAGCTTGTCTACCCGCGTAGATTACAAAATTCTTTTGGGATGATATGAAAATATCATCATCATCATCATTACAAGTTAGCTGGAGGCGGAAAACACCTCAGCTATTGCGCCGCAATACAAAAGGCAAGAAAAGAAGAAAAAACAAAGCAACAACAACAAACAGTGGCACGCCCGCTGAGTCCCCAGTAACGGATGGACATCGTTCCGGAGAGCTAACAGCTGGCTGCCGTAAAAGAAAGTCATATTATGCCAAACGATTGAGATCGTGATTGGAGGGGGATGCTAAACAGGAGGGGGATGGACAAAGGAACTCACAACACAAACGCCATTGGGGCCGGCACCTAGCCATATCAGCAAGTGTGTCCAACCAAACGCGTTCACCGTCCTTAGGACCCCAACCAGGCAGTCGGGATGCACCAACCGACGCCAACTTCGAAGTGAGGGTTTTCATTTCTCTCGACCAAGTCATCACTTGGCCTCCCCTCCTCCTCTTCCAACCGCACCCACAACGCGTAAACAAAGCACGTCGTGGGAGTCGGTGTGCTGGCATGCGCAACACGTGGCCCAGCCATCGGAGCCTGGTGCGTGATATAATCGTGCTGAGCGGTTCACTCGCTCTTCCTGTACCAAATACGCGACGCCGAACACGCTCATTGCTCACGTGGTGTTCCCACCAAACAAGAGCTAAGCTGCGAAGGCAGCGATGATCGAATGTGACGAGTCTCTTCATGTCTGTCGACCTGATGGGCCAGGTTTCACAGCCATATAGGAGAGTTGAACGGACGGCTGCGTTGTAAACTCTGCCCTTCAGGGCGAGAGTAATGTCGCGTCTGCGCCACAGGTGGCGGAGATTGGCAAAAGCACCTCGAGCTTTTGCTATACGGTTCGTAACCTCATCTTCAATCCCACGGGTGCTAATATAGCTGCCCAGGTACTTGAATTCCTGAACGACTTCTAGCAGATCACCACCAAACGTTAGCGCAGGGTTGGGTCCCTGCCAATCTTGGAGAAGTACTTTGCATTTCGATGGAGCAAAGCATAGCCCAAAACAATTGACAGCCAGTGCTAATCGGTTCAGTGCTGTTTGGCATGTTTGGGAGCTGTCACAGATTAGGGCAATATCGTCTGCATACTCCAAGTCAAGAAGTCGCTCACCAGGGAGTAGCTCCACACCTTCTAGGTCGTGTCCAGCGAACGCTGTTTCCATGAATTCATCAATAGCGAAGTTGAAGAGGAAAGGTGACAGCGGGCATCCTTGTCTCACACCGCTGGTGATACTGAAGGGTGGCGAGAGTTTGCCACAAACCCTCACCCTGCCCGAACTATGTGCGTACAGCGCTTTGATAATATTTACGTATTTATCAGGCACACCTTTCCTCAACAGACAGTCCCAGAGGGCACATCGATCGACTGAGTCGAAGGCACCTTTTATGTCAAGAAACACGACAACGGTGGGTCGCCAATAAACATGGCGGTGCTCCAACACTTGACGCAATGTGAAGATGTGGTCGATGCAGCCCCGACCTCGACGAAATCCGGCTTGCTCTTCACGAATCTGGCTTTCACGAGTGCCACTCAGTCTGTGGAGAATGAGAGAGGCAAGCAATTTAGAGGCAATCGAAATCAGACTGATCCCTCTATGATTGCCACATTCTAAACGGGAGCCTCCCTTGAAAATTGGGACAATGACGGAGCGGTTCCAGTCTGTCGGGACTGTCTCCTGCTCCCAAAGTTTTACTAGCAACTCGTGTAGATCATCTACTAGAGCAGGTCCACCGAATTTGAAGAGGGCTGGAGGAATCGTATCTG